CTAACTACTTACTACTACTTACTTACTACTACTACTACTACTTACTACTACTTACTACTACTTACTACTACTTACTACTACTTACTACTACAACACTACACAACACAACACAACACTACACTACACTGCACTGCACAACACTACGCTACACTACACGACACTACACTACACTACACCTCACTACACTACACCTCACTACACCTCACTACACTACACTACACTACACTACACTACACCACAACTACAACCACAACCACAACTACAACTACAACTACACTAACACTACTTCACATGCACTACACTAGACTTCACTGCACTATACGACACTACGAGTACACAACGGGAGAGTACGCTACACTACACTACATTACACTACATTACACTACATTACACTACACTACTTTACACCACACTTTTTTACAACTACAACTACACTACACTAATTACACTACACTACAACTACAACTCCACTACACTACAACTACAACTACAACTGCACTACACCACACTACATCCAGCAGTTGTGGGTGAGGTGACCACTGCAACCACTGCAACCATTTCAAAAAACACAACTCCAACCACCTTTCGGTCCATCAGTGGATTCGCTCTGCCATCCGTGATTCACAACAACCAACCTCTCCTTTTTGGGTTTCTTATTTTAGAAACTTCCGCCACCGCCGACCGTGCGGTACTACTGGCACAGTAGTCCAATGACTCGAATCGCCGCTTCAGCCCTCCGGCCTTGAGACAGCCACGAGCCTTTAAAAGCTCCTGGCTTGTTCTTTTGCTTCGGAAACCATCACTCTTGCCCTATGTCCTTTATGGATCTTTATGGTCACTAGAAAAATCACGTTATGCTCTTTCTGTGAATATCTGGTTGAAGGTGATGACGTTGTACGAATCAAAGACTGGTCCTGACGCGGTGGATCTCTAGCTACAGAATCTACGATCAAATGCTCAGCCGGAGGCGTCTCGGGTCCTGCCGATTGGACAAGCCGTTGCTCATCCAATCTGGCAGCCTCAGGTGGCTTTTCACAGCAAGGTATCATACATCTGGGTATTGGCGCTGTGCTTACAGGCTTTGCAAGAACTTGCAATGGTACTGGCGCTTAAGATGCTGGAGGAGAGATCAAAGTTTGTAGTCGAGAAACCTGCACCTTTGTTTTTATGTCTTCCAAAAACCCGATTGAAACAAAATAGAGGAAAGGAATAGAACAATTTAGAATCAAAGAGCCAGTGGCATCACTACCATGTGAAATATCTAAAGCTGCACACCAAAGCTGCAGAAACCTGGGTTCTCGATAGATACCCTGGTATGTAAAATTGAAAATGGGGTATACCATGTGCCTCCAAAATGGCATTAAACAATAGGCAAAACCATAAGAAGGGGGGACTTGGGGAATTTCGAGGTAACCCATGTTCAGACAACCCCATACAACCATGTGCAACAATGTGCAACTATATGCAACCCATATACTTTACCTCGGCTTCACCAGCTGCCATATTTGCCACGGGGCGTGTGAGCTCTTTGGTTAATGGTCGAAACCAGACGCCGCATCTCCGCCTCAAGCGCAAGGCCAGGTTCTGGTTTTGTTGATGCTAGTGGTATCATGTGGCATCTGGTTAACCCCACCTAGATACCCAGACTTTCACTATAATCAGTAGATAGTGAAGAAACATCTGGTTTACCCCACCTTTTCTGATGTTTCTTCCCATGCCTAGGTGCCGGAAAACGTCTCACCCGTCCATTTTTGGGCCCGATTTCGGGGGGGGCCTCGTTGCAGCTGAGGCCTTCCGCACGCATGGCACTGAAGATGTCGTTCTTCAGGTCCTTGGGATGATCGAAACGACGAAACCACGAAACGCCACAGCTGGGTCTTTGAAGTCTTGGTATGTTTATAAAACATATTGTGATATATATCATATATTTATGATACTCTATATATATATATTCTAAGATTCATTATAAAATAGACATGTTTCTTTCATCAATCATGAAAACAGTTTTCACAAGTTGGTATGCAAATATCTTATGATTTCAATAACTTCAATGTGAAACATGATTAATAACATATTATGTTATTCATCCTATATTATCATCAATATTACATATTTAAAAAAAAAAAAAACTATAATTATGAAAATAACATTAATAATAATCTTATAACATAACTGGTTGGTGGTGGAGCCCTACAACTCTGAAAAATATGAGTTCGTCAGTTGGGATGATGACATTCCCAATATACGGAAAGTCAAAAAAACCATGTTCCAAACCACCAACCAGATATATAGATCTATTAAGTCCATATTAAGTTATGTCAAGTACCACTAACCCATATTAAGTCCCTATTGTTTTATTCCAACATTTCCTATGGTTTTTTCACATAACATGACATCAAACATCCCCCCAGGATGCAAACATCCCCCAGAAACAGAGCTCGCAGCGCCTGGAGCTTCTGCATCTCGCCTCAGACATCCAATGGGAGTGTTGGGACTTGCACAAGAGAAAGTTGGGACCCAAGAGCATTAAATATCTATGATAATATCTATGTGTATGAAGTGATATAATATGATATGATGTGACATGATATGATATGATATGATATGATATGATATGATGAACTATATCCATATGATAAATATTAAAATAACCTATTTGATATGATAATATCTATATATATATGTGTGTGTAAACTATAGTATATGTGTATGTTTTTTTTTAAAAAAAAAAAAGACGAATACTGGGATTCAGTATATATATATATATACTTAACATATGATATTGTTTATAAAACATATTGTGAAATATATCATATATATATGATAAACTATATGTATAATTAAATCATGCATAATATATAGTACGTAACATGCCGTCGATAAAAATATAGTATATCATATGTAGTATATAGCACGGAATAGTTGATGCATATTATATATACAACATATTTAATATCGTATATATATATATGTTTAATGTTCAGTATATACGATATTGATTATATAATATATATATATATATACATACGTATTCTTATACCTATAGTATAATATATATATATATATATTATTTATATACATATATCTGGAGTGAATAACCTATAATATATAACATACAATAAATACATATAACATATCATAAAGAATATATATGTATATGTATATATATATATATATCATAAAACATATTCAATATACTATATAATGAATTTTAAACATATCATATGTAATATAAAACATGTATATATCGTGTTGTAATATGTGTGTATAATATAACAATATAGTTAGTTTCTGGAAATGTATGCTAGCAATTCTTGTTACGATGATCATTCACCATTCACTTTCTACATGTTGTAGCCTTAGGAGAACTTGATCATACTTGATCCATATCATTCTGCGCCACATATTTTTCTGCTCCAATTTGGAGGCAAGGTGCTGGCTGCAGCAGCTTTAGCTCTCTCTGGATCTAGAAGCAGATCCAGAATCACGCCACGCTCGCGGCCCTTCAGCTTCTTCGTTTGGGCCTTCAGGAGTCATCGGAATGATTTAGACATATTTAGACAAGGTCACAAAGATCAAAACAGAATTGTTTTTAAATTTAAAAACAGGTCACAAAGATCAAAACATCTTGAGTGACACATAGCGACACCAAAACAGAAATCGCTGGAGCCAGTGGAGCGTTCAAAACTTCTCAGCACCTCGGTGACTCGAAATTTGGAGCTCAAGCGCTCGCACTCATTCAGCAACTCCGCTTCTTGGTCCAGGCCTCCCAAGCACCCAATGTACCCAATACCATCTGGTTATGACTAACAGCTTGCCATGGAAAATCCCAACCATAAATGGAGGTTTCTAGCTGGGAAAATCATCTATTTCTATGGGCTATTTTCCATGAGGGTAAATCCAAATAAGGGCTATGTCACGGTATTAGTGTTGCATCCAGCCCTTGGCAGCCAAGCATCAAAAAAATGGAGCCGTTTTTCTCAGTTTCCGTGACAGGATTGCTACAGGACTCCCACAGAACGATGGTTTTCGATCTGCTGAGGCTCCCGGGCTCAAACGACTTCTTGCAGAGATGTGAGAGATTTTGGACCTCATGGAGGCAACAGATCGGATTGTTTTCTATGGGGCTGCTATGCGGGCCAACCACACCACAACACAAGGCCAACACAACCAGATCATACCATATCTGTGGAAGATGATGGAATTAATTGTTTAAGATGATGGTTTTTTCCTCGTTTGGCCTTTCTGAAGAAGGGGACATGAAAAAACGATGAGGGTCATTGCCAATTCTGGTCAATGTTTGTAGCACGTTGTCCCTGCTAAGGGTCTTGTCTTCAATGATCCTTACAGATCACAATTACCAACACACCCAATGGAATAAGATCGTGCAACTGCCATCAGAGAAAAATGACTTTCTTCGAGTGATCCCCACCAAATAACATTCTAATTAATTACTGTATTTCTTTCTGACATTCTATCTGACATTCCATCTGGCATGTGTTCCGGTCCAGACGTGCTCCACTGCATCCAGAGACCCTCACGACCCTCACGTGGCAGGGGAAAAATCACATCCCACCTGGCATTCTCTGGGCAACCCAACACGTACCATGCGAACTCCTGCCGAAAATCCCATGGCAGGGGGCAGCCACTCCGCAGCACTGCAAGCGTCACTAGGCAGCGACATGCCAAGGCGTCTGGGTGCGCATCCTCCACTAGACCCAACACCTGCAGAGATGCTGTGGTGAAATGTGGCGCACCTCTTCGAACTACAGTCTCTTCAAAAATGGATTTGCAAAAACTTCGTTTTAGGCAGGCAGATCTGTTCCAACATTTTTTTGTCGATGTTGCGAAAGCCTCTGTTTGAGTTGGTTTTCTTTGCCAATCGCAGCTGTCCCAAGAATGTTTACAGTACCAATATTATGGAGGATCAACATGGGGAGAAACATGAGGGCAATAAACAGGTAGATAACTCGGGCAAAAAATTGGCAGATAAATGAGGAGAAAAATAAAAGAAAACCAGTCAGGTTATATAGTAAGAAGAAAAACAGGGAGAAGCATTGGGAGACAAAGAGGGAGACAAACATGCATTAGAACATTTGTCTCCCCATGTTTCTCCCTATGTTTCTCGCTATTCATCCGCTCTTTCTGCCCATGTTTCTCTGCATTTGTCATCCAAGTTTCTCCCTACATTTCTTCCAATTTATCTCCCATATGTTTCTTCCTATATATCCCTATCTATCTTGCTGTCTACAGTGTCTCCCTATCAATCTCCGTTTTATCCCTAGTCGTCCCTATTTTCTCCCTGTTTATCTCCCTATTTCTTCCCTATGTTTCTTCCCATTTATCTCTCGATCTAACCCCTATTTCTACTATATCTATCTTCCTTTTCACCTTCGTATCTATCTCCCTATGTCTCTCCCTATAAATCTCCCTATGTGTCTTCTTATTTTTATCTAATTTACCATATTTCCTATTTATCTCAAATATTTATATTCCGAGTGATCTTCGTATTTATCTCCCTAATATCTTGGCCGGGCAGTTTCCGCTCCGACACACCTTCAGGATCTGAGCTTCCTCCTCGTTGAGCTCTGCATCGGTTCCAACTGCATGGACCAGTGAGCTGACGCCTGAGCTCAGCCGTTCATCCTGGTGGAGCCTACCGGATATCTGGTTGGTGGTTGAGCCCTACCCCTCTGAAAAATGATGGAGTGAAGGTCAGTTGGGATTATGAAATTCCCAACTGAATGGAAAAATCATCCAAATGTTCCAAACCACCAACCAGATATAGGCTGATAATGGCTGATATCGGAAGCTGTTCCAGCCTTCATAGTCGCGTGCGAGAAATCGCAGCAGCAACAGGTACCTTAGTGAGCTGCAAAAATCACATTTCTCAGACTCGCTATGTCTGACATTGTCTGACTAAAGTCGAAACGAAACGAATCAGTTGGACAGCGTCTCTAAAAGCCCAGTGGATGTGTCCCTTTCAAAAACACCCCAGTGAATCAGCCCAGCCGCATGGCCGAGGAGAAGGATGGAGCGATCAGAAAACCCTTGGAAACGTGCACCTCGTATTTGAAGTAAGTGACCTGGCGGAAATCCCTTGGAAATCCCCTTAACAAAGTGAGTGAGGCCAAAGTGAGGCCCCCAACAGGGCACCCTTTTTTTGAATCGAAAAGTGCTGGCTGGACCCTTGTCATCCCCAAGATACGAATGACCATACTGGCCTTATCTGAGCCTACAGTATTTCGCAGTAACACTTCAAAACACTCACGTTTCTAACACTTCAAAAATGTTCAGAAGAAATGACCACACTTCAGACACTTCACGTGAAGTCTGGCAGTTTGGCAATGTTTGGCACCTTCGCCTTGGAAGTCCAGTTCCTTCCCCATTTCCCCAATCGCTCAAAGACCTCAGAAATTCGGCTGGATCTTTTGGTCCGAATACTCTGGCAGGTTCGGATCTTGAGCTTGGGACGATCTCTGTGGTGAAGGGGCGGCCTAAAACAGACACCCGGCCTGGTAAACGTTAACAAAAAGCTATTGAAGCCATGGCCCAGTCGAAATAGTGGATGAATCCCCATTACCCTCTGGTAAATTAACATGGACCCTGAAAATCACCCATTTTTAGAGTAAACTAATCTTCCAACCCCTATCTACCAGGGTCTATGTTAATTTACTGGAGGGTAATATCCATTTTCATAGCATGGTGGATCTTTCCATCGATTTTTCTATGTTTACCAGTTACCAAGGCCAAAAAGCAGAGCTCAAATCCTGGTTCCCTCTTAATGGACCCCTCCATGGACTGGCCTTTGATGTTCGGTCTCAGGGGCATGTACTGCGGCACGAGCACGTGCAATGATTGCATCTCATCCTTGGCTCACTGGGCTCCCTTGGCTCATCGTTATGAGCTTCGCACCGCTGCAGATGGTAAAATGTTTGAAGTCTAAGGATAAAAAAAAGCTGGTGACCTTGGTGATGTTTGATATTTTGGGTGATGTTTGATATTTTGGGTGGAAACATCCATTGGCAAGTTCTGAAAAACAAGGGCACTGCTTGCTGGGAGAGAGGCGCACAAGATCACAGCATGGGGGATGCCAGTCAGCAATTTCGCAACCTTCAAGAGTCATTCCGAAGTCATTCAGGAGTCACTCAACTCTGGTGACATGTCGTGGCAAAAAATGGTGACATGTGACATCTGTTCACAGGTCCGCGGAAAATTTTCACTCCGCCTGTTCGGGCACCGGGGCCAGCAGCACGCTGAGGTTCCCAAAGTCCGCTGAAACCAAGCGTTTGACACCACCCTCATCCTTCACAAAGAAGGTAAGACCCAGCCGCGGAAACTGAAGGATGCGCCTTGGGACGGAAGCGTTTTTTGGGGATCCACACGGCGGAGCCCTTGGAGTGTCCAATTTTTTCAGACGAAACCAAGGAACAGCGGAGCACAGGCCCATGTCTGCTTTGAAGTGTCAGCATCAGCACCTGGAATCGGGAGCATTTGGGCATCCAACATTAAACAATTCAGAATTCTTCATCTTTCCATATTTTCCAGAGCGCCATTTTCTTGCTCATCCGAAAATACCATTTGATACAAAAGTTGGGAGAACGTGTCTTACAGCTGCAATGTGGCTGTGTCTGAAACTGGAGGATGCCTATATAATCCTACATAAAATTGCCATGTCATGCCATGTCATGATATTTCATGTTGGAAATAACGAGAAACCCATATGTTCCCATAAGATTTACAGACAGCCCCCATATTTCAACACCAAAAAAAGATTCTCCGATTCTCTATGGTCTCCACTGCCAAGGAGCATCTTCCCCATGCCAAGACATGGGACAAATCATCCAAACGCGAAGCCCAACGTGCCATGCTATGCAAGGGCGTTCCTGCGGGGCCAGGTATTTTTTGATCTAACTATATCATATTACATGTTGTTTAATTTATGTTATTCAATTTACATTACATCATATTATATGATATCATAATATACCACGTTATATGATATTAAATCATATCATATCATATTATATTATATTATATTAATATTATATTATAGCATAGTATGTTATATTACATTATGCCATATTATGATATACTATACTATATTATACTATGACTATAGCATGTTTTAAACATTTGCTATATTACTATATTATATGATATCATATTATATTGTTTTATATTTATATTATGTCATAGTTATATTTATCATATTATATTATATGATATTATATTTCATTGTATTGTATGTTATGTTATGTTATGTTAAATCACATCATGCTAAATCTTGTTACATTGTATTATATCATATGTTATATTATATCATATCGTGTTATATTATAACACATCGTATCAAATTATATTAGATCATATTATAGCATACTATACTATAGCATACTATACTATACTATACTATACCATACCACTATACTGTATACTATATTATACTATACTATACTATACTATATTATATCATATCATATTTTATTTTGTTATATCATATCATATACATATGTATTGATGCATTATATGGTACATCAGTTTTCTCCCAGGAAGTCTCCAGCTGACCTTTGGGGGCAGATATCAAGTTCAGCAGCAAGTGCGGCTCCAAATCCTTAGTTATTTGATGGATTTTGATGTGCATTGGTTCAAAACATCTCTCCAAACAAGCTTCAAGAAAGATCAAGAAAATCTGGCTTCACATGGCGGTACCCTGACATTCTGATTTTTTAATTTTTGGCAATGCCTCCGTGCAGTGAGTCTCAACCTGTTCCAATTCAAGGACTTTATGATCCAACTCTGCAGTCAATGGATACCCTCTGGTAAACTAACATAACTATGGAAAATAACCATTTTTCATGGGTAAATCCACTATAAATAGCCATTTTCAATAGCTATGTAACAAATTACCAGAGGGTATGATATGGGCATAAAAAACAGGTCTGCCTTCGCAAAGGGCCAAGCCAAAAGTCTCCATTGGCACCAGCCAAGTCCATGGTAATGCGTGCACATGCAGCAGGCTCATCAGTAGAGTTGAAGGCACCTGGCAGCATCTGGCAGCGCATGCTCTGTTTCTGTCTGGTTGCAGTTGAGAGTTCCTGCCGAAAAAACATGATGAGTCATGAGTCATGACTGGTTGGTGGTTGAGCCCTACCCCTCTGAAAAATATGAGTTCGTCAGTTGGGATGATGACATTCCCAATATATGGAAAAATAAAGAATGTTCCAAACCACCAACCAGTCATGATGTTGGTCACACATTGAATATCTCGCTGATCCACAAGTCCAACGCCAGCTTCGCTGATCCACGTAAGCTAACCATGGTCCAATGCTATGTTTGGCACCTTCCAATCCCACTCCGATGATGGTAGCGCGTGGCAGAAGTTCCACCGAAACTTCGCTCGTGCCGTAACCGGTGAGCCTATCAAGCTCTGAATTTGGGAACACCATGGAACACCTTCACAGCGTGCAAATGCGTGCAACATCAAGCAGCATGCCGTGTTCTACGTTGTCGTTCTGTTACCATCTGGTTATTTAACAGTTCGCCATGGAAAATCACCATTTTTACTAGGTAAACCGGTAAACCATCTATTTCGATTAGGGCCATGGCTTAACCATGGCTAGCCCTGTTAGTCATAACCAGAGGGTAAATCCCATTAGATCCCATAAAATCCCATTAAACCACCATAAAATCCATATTCCTATGGTTTTCAATGGGAAAATCCACTATAAATCACCCATTTTCCATAGCGAACTGTTAGTCATCACCAGGCCGGGTACATTCTTTCGCGATTCGCGCGCACCTGCAGCTCTCGCCCGTATCTTGCCAAAAGTCATGAGAAGCCAGCAGCGCAGCAGGGATCAAGCCACGCAGCAAGTAGGCAGGGATGTACTCCTGACAGCCCATAGCCTCTGGTTATGTCAAAATAGCTATTGAAAATGGTGATTTATAGTGGATTTACCCATTGATAGCATGGTGATCTTCCATCGTTTTTTAGTGGATTTACCCATTGATAGCATGGTGATCTTCCATCGTTTTTTTAGTGGATTTACCAGAGGGTAGCAGCCATCACCTCCCGCAAAAAGAACATCCAGTGACTCCGTCGGTGGACCCGTGCGCCTCCAAGTCCTGACATTCGGGCCGGTCCCAGGCGCCCTTCTTGACTGGCGGCTTGCGTGCCTGCGGAAATGTGCAAACGTGCAGTCAAAGGGCAGTTGAAATTGGAGTTCCAAATCAGATCAGTGATATACAATATTATACAATCATGAAATATCATGAAATATCATGAAATATCATGAAATATCATGAAATATATCATGAAATATATCATGAAATATATCATGAAATATATCATGAAATATATCATGAAATATATCATGAAATAGATCACGAAATAGATCATGAAATATATCATGAAATATATCATGAAATATATCATGAAATATATCATGAAATATATCATGAAATATATCATGAAATATATCATGAAATATATCATGAAATATCATGAAATATCATGAAATATATCATGAAATATATCATGAAATATATCATGAAATATATCATGAAATATATCATGAAATATATCATGAAAAATATCATGAAATATATCATGAAATATATCATGAAATATATCATGAAATATATCATGAAATATATCATGAAATATATCATGAAATATATCATGAAATATATCATGAAATATATCATGAAATATATCATGAAATATATCATGAAATATATCATGAAATATCATGAAATATCATGAAATATCATGAAATATCATGAAATATGTTGAAATATCATGAAATATATCATGAAATATCATGAAATATCATGAAATATCATGAAATAGCATGAAATAGCATGAAATAGCATGAAATAGCATGAAATATCATGAAATATAATGAAATATATCATGAAATATATCATGAAATATATCACGAAATAGATCATGAAATATATCATGAAATATATCATGAAATATATCACGAAATATATCATGAAATATATCACGAAATATATCACGAAATAGATCATGAAATATATCATGAAATATCATGAAATATCATGAAATATATCATGAAATATAATGAAATATATCATGAAATATATCATGAAATATATCACGAAATATATCACGAAATAGATCATGAAATATATCATGAAATATATCACGAAATATATCATGAAATATATCACGAAATATATCACGAAATAGATCATGAAATATATCATGAAATATCATGAAATATCGTGAAATATCATGAAATATATCATGAAATATATCATGAAATATATCATGAAATATATCACGAAATATATCATGAAATATATCACGAAATAGATCACGAAATAGATCACGAAATAGATCATGAAATATATCATGAAATATCATGAAATATAATGAAATATATCATGAAATATATCATGAAAAATATCACGAAATAGATCATGAAATATATCATGAAATATATCACAAAATATATCATGAAATATATCACGAAATATATCACGAAATAGATCATGAAATATATCATGAAATATCATGAAATATCATGAAATATATCATGAAATATATCATGAATCTGATGAATGCTTCACCGGCCCTCTCTGGTACTCTCTGTGAATGGATGCGATCACGTTCAGTTGCTGTGCCATTTCACATCAAATAATTCACAAACAATGAACGCAATGGACGCATGTGCGTTTACATCTCTAGTTATTTTGTACATCAATGAATCCCTGCAAAATATCCTAGATACCTGGACCTCCAATTGATACCTCAAATTCTGCTCCAGCCTTTTTGCGCGCAAAAATCTTCGAAATGGATTGCTTATCCAAACATATCAAAACTATTCCAAATTTACAGAAATCACGGTGTGTTTTTTCTAAAACCGTGCATTTCTGTGTTCCTACTAACAATTGTTTTTTTTCAATACCGAAGGACCCCGGCATCTCAACGGAGCCAGAACAGTGCAGCGAAAAAACGAGGCTGGTGCAGGCGCGAAAACTTTTGGGCGGCGTGTTGTGCATTTGCAAAAAGCAACGCCTTCAAAAAAAGTTCTGAAAAAAAAAACTGCTCGATCTGCAGTTTTGACTCCACAGCCAGCTCTTTTTGGTGGGAAGTAAGTTCATGCGAAGCCTGCGGTGATGCGGAGCCACAGTATGTCGAGCCCCAAGGCTCTGGGCGAGGAAAACCGCTCGAAGATCAACGCTCGAATCAGCATGCACTGCACTAACCTTAAATTTCGCTAAGATTTTTCAAAACATGCTCGAATAGCTATTGCACAAAAAATTTCGGTGACGAAAGGAGATTCAGGTAATTCCAGGTACCCTCTGGTAATTTGTTACATAGCGAACTGGAAAATCACCATTTTTCATGGGAAAATCCACTATTTCTATGGTCATTTTCAATAGCTATGTTAAATTACCAGAGGGTATACAAATTATATGTACATACCATCTGGTTGGTTCCCCAAGGTACGTGTCGCATTCTAGTCAAATTCCTCCAGCAGTGGATTGTGATAAATCAAGCGAGGAGCATCCTTCGTCTTACCTTCAGCAGTTGCTTTCACCTTGGCTGTGCTTTTTTTCGCATCTTGGAAATCTATGGAAATCTGCTCTCCAAAAGCACCGAGCCTTTCGCTCGCCAGTGATACAGCCAGAGTAGCCAGAGTATTCACATGTATTCAACCATTTTTTGCAAGACAGTCTAGGGATGTCTATGGATGTCTATAATGTCAAACCCGGATCAATAAACCATGGTTTATTACTTAGGGGGGTACTCCTCCAATAGTCATTATCTGATACTTAAACGGTACCCTCCCAATTAAACAGCCTTGGGATTTATTCATCCGGGGTTGACATTATATAGTGCATGGATGAATTTTGAATCAACGTCACTCGCGCTTCGGTCTCTTCAGCTGTGGCTGTAGGCTTTCCCCGCACCGATTGGACCGGCCTTGCGGAGGCGATTTGGTTGGCCAACAGTGCGGCTTGTTTCAACGACCTTTCGATTGCGTTTTGTTGAAACTGTACCCAAAGCTGCTAGGAAACTTGCAAGTCGGTACTATATGTACTATGAAAACTGTGTGAAATACGAAAAAGGATGAAAAAGGTCCAGCTGGACCCTCTCGACAAACGGCCTTTGGATAACCACGGATGGGCCGAAAGGTGGTGGTTGCAAGCCACGCAAATAGTCGCGGTAGTCATCTTCACAGTTGTCCAGATCCTTGGAGCAACCAGAATGCACCACAGCGGGCTGAAAAGCAATAAGGCACTTAGCCAAGCAATAAGTTCGAAAATGGTGCGGAGATTGTGGCCCTGGAGATTTTTGACAGCGGACTGACATCCTCAAGTAAGATCAAGTAAGATCAAGTAAGATCAAGTAAGATCAAGTAAGATCAAGTAAGATCAGGTAAGATCAGGTAAGATCAGGTAAGCAGGGATCCTGGCACACTGGCTTTAGAGTCTCATAAAAACCCACTGCCCAGAAGCTCGTCCACCGAAGGCGACTGCAAGATGCCGACCCCAGACCTGGCTTCGTAGAGAAAAACCTGGAGAAGAACTTATATCATGGAGGAAAAAAATGGGATTCTCATGGAATTCTCATGGGATTAAAGTGGCTCCCGCGGATAGAGTGTCATTCATAGAAAATGACTAGCTGTGACTAGCTGTGACTAGCTCCGCCAAGCTCGTGCCACCACGGGACTGGCCAAGGTTCTCGAGGCCGGGTGTTGACCATCATTTCGTTGTACGGCAGGATGGAAGACTCCTGGGTCGTGGGTGGCCGATGCGCTGATCCAGGCTTTTTCTTGTGCCACTTTAGCCACTTTAGGTGCCTCTTGGCCAACAAAGGTCCGATTTGGAGACGATTTGCTTTACGAAGTGATTGTGCTTGATTACGGTATACTATCGGTTTGCAGCAGCCGAGCAAACTAAAATTCAGCGCACCTTCCAATGCCACCGCCGAAAAAATTGGGCGGGTTCTGTCCCAAAAGGTGCCAATTGGCAAGGCAAGTCGCTGGTTGCATCTCCCAATGGCAGAAGCGAGCATCAGTTGACCTTGCACAAAAATGAGCATCCTACGAGTCGTAACGAGTCCTATGAGGTCAATCTCTGACAAAAAAAACGATGATTTCCGAGCTGAAGAGCTTTCTCTCCATATACTATCCAGCCTATCATCTGAGTTATCTATCCTCACCCAAAAAAAAACTTCAGTCTTGTTTACATCGAGTGACTCACCATCCGTGCCATTGTGAATGCTGCATAAATATGCATAAATGCATGATTTCAGTTGAAGCCTGTTGCATCTTGTCAAATGTCAGGACTCGCCGGACGCATCCGGGCGGCATTTCCAAGATTCGATACTTGCGACGTCCACATGCTTCGATCCCGAAGACTTGGCAGCATCCAAAATCCTGCTCGGAAGCGATTTTTCGGGCACTGGTAGACCATAGATTCCCACAAGGTGGTGCCCCAGTTCGTTAGCTAAGTTGGTGCACATAACTCCAGTAACTATGGTTTATGGCAAATATAACTATAGTATTCATGGGGTTTATAAACCAACAAACATCACTGGGGGGCACCATCCTGCATAGATCATCTGACCCCGACTACCATAGGGTTTAGGGTGCCCTGGTGTTTATGTACCTTTTGGTACCTCCTCAATTAATGATGGTCCTATTGTCACGCACAGACCTCGTGGTTTGTCGTGGTTTGCCCGGACTGCAACATTGAGTATGCTGAGTATGCCCTGTTATCAGAAAATACTGCCTATACGCAGTGTTTTTTGGTTTAGGATAAAGAGTGTTCAATGTTTGGGGCTATTTAGGGTTTAGGGTTCGTCATCTGGGAAATACCAAAACACTGGCCCTGCGCAGGTATTTGAGCATGTCAAAGGATAAGCTTTGAAAACCCCCTCACAGGCGTCCTTGTAGATGACCACTTCTTTCCTTGGCTGCAAAACACAAGATGATTATCAGCTGAGGTCACCTTCGGGATTGCCATAGCAGTAAAGGATGTCCCAAGTTTAACCATGTTTCGCAGCTATGCACATTGCAGAGCTGCATGGCAAGCCATGCATTTTCTTCATTCCGAATCTGGCATATTTTCATCAGTTCTTCCCAGTCACGATCGAAGTATCCTTAAATGTGTCCTGCCATCGCTGCCATGTCTCCAAATGGTTGAAGACTTCTTTGGATGGCCACCAGCCAACAGCACCATATGCGCATCTTCAGGGACAGTTTGCTCAGGCAAATAAAACTGCACATCCTCGGACGCGGGCCCCAAGGCCCAGCCCACCCCAGAGACGTCTTCCCCGGGTCGTCGGTTGCCAAAGGGGGGGCACTGTGATGATTTTGGCCTGAAAATATCAGCGACATTCACCGGTTTCTGTTTCATGCTGACTTCAAATCGCCAGATATCGCCAGATAGTCAATACTTAACCCATTAAATGTGGTATTTTCCAGTTCGCTATGTAAACGTTTACCAGGCCGGGTAAGTCACAAAAAATCTCCTCTCAGGTTCCCAATGGTTCCCAGCAACACTCCTTTCTACCAGGCTTCTGCCGGGGGCATGCCCAGCTTGGTGAAATACTTCTTCCGGATCGGCTCAAAGAAATCCGCAATCCATTGCCTAAGGCACCGCTGACCAGGCGCGGATGGTCCGGATGGTCCGGATGGTCCGGATTGTGACTTGGAACGACTTGACGACTTTGGTCCAGACTTCAATTGGCTTAACAAAATCATGGAATTTTCGAACAATAGTTTCAACACCCCCCTTGGCTATCGCAAAAAAATCACGGAAAATCTGGAGTCAGCTGCATCTGCTGATCTCCAGTGACGTCCAAGACACTCCTCCGCCGCCAAATCATCCGGATCCTTAGGGGGGCGAGGCGAGGAGGCGAGGCGACTCGCCGTCATCCAACGTAACCCAGAAAAATCACTTTTTTCAGGCCACGCCAATCACTGTTCCAACATGTTCCAAATATATAATTGCATATATATATATACTATATAGATAGATTATCCATATATATATATATATATCATCATTGAATGAAAACATGCAGTCTCCTGTCTCCCACAGTTTTTTTTTAAATCCAAGTACTGTGGTCAGCAGACATCACGGGGTCAGCAACTGTCGGAGCACTGCGCTCCGAAGAAAATCTGTGGTGGATCTCCACAGAAGAATCCGATGCACTCGGAGAGAGGTCTGTTGCATCATGACATGCCATGTGTTTGCCTTGAAAATCTCGAAATCAAAATACTCAAAGTCAGACATAGGACCTACATAGGACCTCCATTTCAAGACGCATTTGAACAAAGAAACAAAGAAACAAAGAAATCGCAGCCACACGTTAATAACCGCTATTGTATCCCTTCGAAATCCATGAAAAAATCTGGATCACCGAATCACCATATTTTGATCCCTTCAAAATCCATGTTTTTTCGTTCGAGGAGCGTAGATTCGATCGCAAAGACCGATCTCAGGAAGCCCACCCTGTTCACCATCCCACATGCTGATGACCTCAGAGGTCGAAAAAGATGTCTGTGGCGAAAATCATAACATGTCATGGTCAGAAGATGTCAGATGTCAGAAGATGTCAGTAGCAGACATATATCGCTGACCATGTTATGATAATACATGATATATATATATATACATGATATATACATGATAATACCATTATGTCAGAATACCAGTGATGGCATCCAAAATCATCGACAAATCAGGCTGGATCATCACTCTCCTGGTCACGTCATTGAGTTGCAAGTTGCATAGTCGGTCCCCACGACCTTCCGGTCTTGTCGATGTTCAAAGTCGCCAAGGGAAACACATTGCAAGGTTTTGGCCTTAATATACGAGCCAAGACACGAAAAAAAATCATATGGTTTAATAAGTTTAATACGAATCTGGTCAATGACTAAAGCACGCAGATGCAACAATGCCTTGAAGACACACTTGAATTCACACGAATCTGGTCAATGACAGCACGCACATGCAATATCATGCAATGAACAGACATGAACAGACAAAGTCTGCACAAAAATATTCAACAAACCCAGCCAGCGTCCACGCTGGGGCCGCTAGGGGGTTCAGTCAGCTCATGTTGATATGGATATGATATGGATATGATATGGATATGATATGGACTGAATATTGATCATTGATTCGAAGTTGATATTGATTTGGATGTTGATCTGGAAATCACATGTTGTCGTCTGCAAATATTCAAATTGATCATTGATTCGACTGGTGTATTTCTTTGGTCTTCGGAAATTGCATGAGCGATCTCGCTGTCACTTGCCATCAGCTATAGCTGACTCGTCCTCTACTGATATGGGCAAAGTGCAAGCAACAAACAAGAACGAGAGGAAGAAAGATACTGAAGCCAAGCCAAACGAAGAGAGTAGGATGTAGAAGTTCCTGCTTTGTGGTTTCAATGCTTCTCAGAAGACTGTCATGCAAATTTCATCCTCTGAGTTTATTGCAGATGCTCCAAAGATGTGCAAAACGTCTGGGTCCTGGCAACCCGAAGTGCTCAATAAAGGCAGCATCTTCAGCATAGCTTGCAAGGTTTAAAAAAAGGGGGTCAATGATGGTAAATCGGATGTTTTTTTTGAAATGGGGGATCCCCAAATTCGATGGTTGATATTCATGAAACATCCCCACAATAGTTGGATGATTTAGGGCCAAAAAAGGGGCATCCACTTTAGGAAGCCACAAATGGTTGACCGATGCACCTGCGCAGCCCTCTCGTCCAGCGCTTGCATCTGCTGCCCCTCGACTCGGAAGACTAAACTTTGCAGGTTCACCTCCATGCGAAGGCGAGGAAACAAACCAGGGAACCAACCAAGGACCATGACGAAAGTGATGCGTCTGAATATGACAAAGGCTTCGGATCAGAATGATCAGATGATCCAATATGATTCTCGCACATAACTTGAATGATTCGAAGAGAGTTTTACAATTGATTTAGTATTATCTACTATGCTTTGCGTATCTATCTATAATGGATATCTACAAATATGGCAAAATCATGCGAGAGTAGATGATACCAGGAGCATGCGTCAACTCAACCCTGGCATGGGAAGCTCTGATGCTTCTCCTCTGAACTTCTTCGGGAGGTAGCAAAACAAGCATAAGAGTTGCCAGGAAAATGTGTTTAGCCTTGCCTCAAGAATGTCATGTCCTGTTCAAACCACTGTCATCCGCACATGCTTTTGATATCATGCCCTCTATTTCCTCGGTGTTCAAAGCGGTGGTTCTGTCAGTTTTCTGATCCAACAAAAACGATGTCCCCATGGCGAAACGACAAGATCAGTGCGCCCTCCAACGTGGAGATGTTGTCCCAAAGCACCCCAACTAACCGTCCCGGCGTAAGTAACCTCTGCTGCAGGCATGGTATCTCCGAAAGTTCCAGCCATAGGCAAACGACCATCCACTGAAGTGAGCTTTTGACTGATGGCCACATAGCGTCCTGTGCTGCTAACAGGTCGCAACAAATGTGGCTGCTAACTGCACCTTCATCACTTTAAAACAATCTGATGTTTTTTTATCAGATGATTTTGGATGTTCAACAACCACCATTGAGACACCTTAGATCACCTTAGGTATTCTGGATTGGTGATCTAGGAGATTCCAATAGAGTCCAACTGTAAAGTTGGTTGCTCCTCGATTGGAGGCTTCAGGCCAGATTGCCCAGGCAGGTGGACCGGGTTCGATGCCGGTGGCAGTGCGCAGGACTGCGTTCAGCACGTGGCAAGCATCTTCATAGGGCGCCTTGGCTAAGGATGATTAAGGCACGAAGGCGGGAAAAAAAAACAACAGACTGAAATGAATTCATAATTTTGACACATCAAAATAAGTATGATCATGGTAAGTCTATTATTTTACGTGGATGATGACCCTTCTTTCCAACCAAGTGCTTTTTTCATTGATATGGACAATCCATTGGGTCAGCAATTATTTTGGTGGCTAAATGAACAAATCTTTGGGCTTTTGAGGGGTTTTGACTTCGTTTTTCCCTATTTTTCCCTACTAAAAGTCAGCATGGTCAGCCATTTCTGATGAATTTTGAACCCGTTGGAAGCACGGGCGGAAAGGCATGGAGTCCACACTTTCCACGGAGACGGCCGCAAGAGATGAAAAAAGGAAAGGGAGGGGTAGATGATGAATGATGATGGATAATAGATGATTAGATGATTAGATGATTAGATGATTGATTGATTGATTGATTGATTGATAGATAGATAGATAGATAGTCAATCGGAGATTGAAAAAAAGGATTTGCTCCCCCCATGATTCAACGATGGCACCAAGGCACCTGCTCCAACCAAGCGATCAGCTCGAGGCGCTTCTCAAAAATCACTTCGAACAGTTCGGGCTCTGGCATCCCCAGCGTATCCTGGCGCCACGTTGCCATGGTTGGCGCATTGGAGACTCCAACGTACCGTCGCCGTTAAAAGCATCCTAAACTGCTTGGTGGTTGTGCCAACCCCTCTGAAAAATATGAAAGTTAATTGGGATGATTATTCCCAATATATGGAAAAATAATCCAAATCCTCCAAACCATCCACCAGACTTTGAATATTTGGGATCCTTTTTCTGTGCCAAATTTGTCGCCGTTGGATTCAAAAAACATCAGCTGCATCTGCATATCCTCGTTCCAGGTGTGACGTGAGGTCAAAAAGACGAAGGAACACAGCAACTGCTCCACCAGTTCAGTGTTGAGGTCCTACAGCGAAAACAGCCGGTGCCTTCAATGAAGATTGTTGAAATCAAACAAGCTGTGCATTGTGAGATTATGGGAAGTTGAATAGTTAGAAAATCATTCTCTACAAGGTTCAAAGACTTGGACGGATGTAATTCACTTTGATCTCGACGTGCGACCCGTGCGACCGGGAAACCTCTGCCCGCAGGTTGCGCAGGAGAAGCACCCGATGGCCATGGATTTGACAGGCGAGCTGAGTCTCGCGATCCACCACTGACTCTAAAACTGGCATTGGCTCCTTCCCAGACCGAGCCTGCGGTGGTCGAAACATCGATGTCTCTGGATGTCTCAGGATGTCTCAGGGTGTCCCTTAAATCATCTGGTTGGTGGTTGATAATCTCTGGTTAATGATGGTTAATAATCATCTGGTTGGTGGTTCTATACCTACCCCTCTGAAAAATGATGGAGTTCGTCAGTTGGGGTGATGACATTCCCAATATATGCAAAAATAAAAGCCATGTTCCAAAGTTTATAATTAATGGACAATCCCCATCTATAAATGATAAATTAGGGGCTATTTCAGGAAACCTCCTTTTTTTTATCAAGATATGACAAGACAAATACCAAAAACTGGTGAACAACAGGGAACCCGCGGCGAAAAAAAATCATGCAATCGTCTGGACCCAAATCGAAAGTTTCCGAAGGTTTGCCACGTGTACCACACAGGAAGCTACCCGAAAGGTCGCACTGGAAAGCGACACCTTCCAAATCTTCGGAGGGTTGCTCGCGGAACCAGAGCCTTCGTAGAGAACTCCTGCGGAAGCAAGGCCACATGTTGCGGTTGTGACATTCGTTAAACCCGATCGGCCGATCGTAATCTTGCCATGCCTGAACCCAAATCGGAATCTGTTGGACAGGACGTTTTTTTTCAAAGTATTTCAAGTCATGGATAGCTAATACATGCGAAAAACCAGACCGGAAATGTTGAGGTCCATCATCAGCGATCAAAGAATGGGAAGGTGGCTCCTTGATAGCGTGCATAGATAATCCATTGGCCACAGAAGCTATCAATAAAAACACTGTCCTCGGATGAAGGACTGTGTGCGCTCAATATATACCCCTTGTAGCAGCAAACCACGGTGCGTGTCGTTTTCAACGTAAATTAACGTTGTTCAACATGCAAGATTTCTTGAATGATATTGCATGTTGACCTTGACAGTCCATTTGCCAAGGCTGGTTTCTCAAACCGAGGAACATCGCCCTTCTTGCCATAGAAGCTAGAAGCCTCGGATCGATACTCGCAAATGTACTCACCATTGGCGCGCTCCTGATCAACAAACTGACTGCTTTCAGATCCCAATTTCTATTGCAGAAATCATCAGTTTTTTTGGTACCCTCTGGTAAACGTTTACATAACTATGGAAAGATCCACCATGCTATTCATGGGAAAACTCACTATAAATAGCCATTTTCAATAGCAAACTGTTGACATAACCAGGCCGGGTAATTCCTCATGGATTGTGGATTTTGCCTAGGACCACTTGATCCCTTGAGTTGCCTCTAAACACCACAAATCAGTCCTCCCCCGCTCCGGAGATCACAAAATCCGGGGCCTCATCCTCCGCGTCTCTGGACGCGTTCACCAATGGACCCTCTGGTAATGACTAACTCACAGTTTGCGACATAGAAAATGGCCCAGTCGAAATAGTGGATTGATCCATTTTCATAGCATGGTGGTGATTTTCCATCGTTTTTTGTGGTGCCCCAGTTCGGAATCGCTCAGTTGGTGCACATAACTCCCATTTCACTATGGTTTATGGCAGATATAACGAACTAGTTTTCATGGGGTTTATAAACCAACTTATAACTGGGGGGCACCATCCTGTAGTTATATGTTATTTTACCAGAGGGTACAAGATGTTACAAGTGAAAAACAAACTGCGTGACAAGATTTTGCGAAAATCTACGCAGTCCAACAGTGTGATATGGTTCTAACACGTTCTAAAGTTTTACATTCATCTGACCCGCAGCGGAAAGTGCTACAAATTCCTCATGCTACTTTTCCTCGGCCCTGGAAGTGTTGAAGTGCTTCGGAGTGTCCCCTCATCTAGGCCGAAATCATGCAAACTCTGGACACTTCTACACCTTGCCGTGTTCCAAAATATAAATTGTTTGTGAAGACGTTTTGCCGTGTTTTCTCCCCACCCAAACCAGAAGTTGCTCTGTTTCACCTCCTCCTCGCCCTTTTTCAATGCTTGCTTTTCCTGGCAGGATGTGGATTGGTTGCTGACCTGCATGTGCGTGTGTGTGTGTGTGTCTTTTATGTAGGGTTGTTTTGTCGACATATTTACCCTCTGGTAAACTAACGTAGCTATTGAAAATGGCCATTTATAGTGAGTTTTCCCATTAAAAATGGTGATTTCCCATAGTGTTTTGTATGTTTACCAGAGGGTATGTGTTATTTCCGCGCAGTATTCATATTTGCTTCGATTTGTTTTGCCGTCTAATTTGATTTCACATCTGCTTTCTCCAGAACCTGGCTGGTTTGCATAGCACCGTTGCATAGCCAACTTCCCTTCATTTCCCTTCGAAAACCACAGAGGTGTCCTGTCCAACTCATTTCCGACCAGTTCCAGGCCTGTTCTTCTGCGACCTTCTCTCCAAAGTCTGTCCTGGCACTAGCTGTGCGGGGGAATGAGGGAAGTTGATGGCCTCCATTTTTTGGATCTCTCCCGGCTGCCTACTTCAGTTTTAACAATATAATTGTATTGTATTGTATTATATTATATTATATGCTATGTTATGTTATATATATATATATATATACATATATATATACATATATATATATACATATACATATATATATATATACATATATATATATATACATATATATATATACATATATATATATATACATATATATATATAGTGAAAGTCAGCTATGCTACCCAGCTGTTGTCACTGCAGGAGCTGCGCACACTTTTTGTCTGTTCGGCACTGCAGGCTCAAGGCCTGTTGATCCATAATGTTGACAAACATCATGAACTATCGTACAAGCAAGTGTTGCAGGCACGTGTTGTTTAACATACTAGAATCAATTAGAGCCCTATCCACGCCCTATCCACGCCCTATCCGCAACCTTCCGCCTTCCAACCCAAACAATCCAGTCCCACCTCACCAAGCCCAGCCAACGTTGAAGCATCATCAAGGCACTTCGACCACCAGCTTCCACCTCCCAGCGCTTCAGTGCACATGGCCACCATGGCACCACAAGGCACCACTGAGCGTCAAACCGCTTGCAAGGCGTTCCGCATGCGTGGCCAAGCGGCCTCGGAAGCTTTCAACCGTTGCCATATGCAGCCTTTGGAGTATATAGGGAGAGAGAGAGAGAATCGAAAACAAAAAAACTGGACAAAACGAATCAAATGAATAGAAACTGAATCAACTATCAACTGGACAAAACCCATGAACTCAGCATTTCTCGCGCACACATGCCTGCAACTGCCGCAAGGTCTGCTCTGACAACACAGGACGTCCACCTTCGTTGAGCCCCTCCGTGCTGCAGGAGGGATGCCTCTGGCCATGGGTGCCATGGGGGTTTCCTAAAATGGGGCGCTACCCCCTACCCTCTGGTTATGACTAACATAGCTATGGAAAATCCATTATAAATGGAGGTTTTTAATGGGAAAATCATCTGTAAATGGTCCATTTTCCATAGCTCTGTTAAATTACCAGAGGGCAGTTATCATCCAGCTGGGATTGTTTATGATATTTATGGAAGCCTGGTCGAGGCTGTGAATTTCGCGATCGATAAATACAACCGCTGCAATTGTCACGAACTCACCAGGTAAAGGATGGATAGAAGGCAAGCCAGACAAAGCATACTGTCGTGTCATGATGTGTCGTGCATCCGGATCGATAGATGCTTGGATAGTTGGACAGTTGGATAGGGATAGGTAGATAGGTACATAGGTAGATAGGTAGTGACTCCCAAAAAGATAGCAAAGCAATTTACCAGGAAGTATTCTAATGTTGGTAAAACAATAATAAACCATTCCCAAATGGGTGGTTTATGATTGTTTTACCCACATTAGGACCGTTTGACCAACCTGGGTTTCCCAGCTCTGCACGGCTGACGGAGAGCAAGAAGGCCATGGTGTTTTGCACCTGGGAAGCCCCACCAAGACCAGAAACACCACCAATCCTTCCAAAAAAACTCGTGAACTGGGGGTTGACCCTTTACTGGCAGCCATTGATTTTCTCGAGTCGCGAGTCATGCTATTTCAAAACAGCCTCCGATGTTTGCGGCGCTCCGCTACCTCTTAAGCTTGGATCTAAAGTTTTTCGATCAGCAATAACCAAGCCTGCCATAGCCTGCGCTAGCGTGTAAACCCACGTCACTAAGCACCACGCTCGTGGTCTGGATCTAGTGATGTTCAGTTCTGTCAACTCATTCCACGGCTGCCACGGCCGCCAGGTCCCCAGACACGACAGCATAAACGTAGCACTGAGAAGATGATTGCCGTAGTGGAGGCGTGTGGGTCCTACGGAGCTGGAGTCGGGGGGTCGATTTCCGGCCTCATAGAACTGGAGTGTTTAGCCATGTTGACCCTCCAAACCTGGTGCTAAGGGAAAACGAACCACAGGGAAAGAGAGAGATAGAGAGAGAGAGAGAGTTACCTCTCAAAAAAAAGAGAGCACTTCCTTAAAAAGTGTTTCTTTCTCTGACACTTTGTGCTAGGTGCTGCAAAGAAAATCCCCATGCTCTGCTCCTGGGTGTCCAGAAGGAGGGCCTCGGCACAGTCACTGCACTATGGCTGGGTTTGATCGAAATCACATCAAGCGGAGGAGAGTAAATCGTCGACCTTCCGCAATTTCAGCATGGTAAAAAATGGAGATACCACCATTTGTTTGGAATTCTCAGTATTCTAGTGTGTATCATCTAAATCATCCATTGATGAATTTTCCACTATAAACCATCCAATACCATCCAATACCATCGGGGTAAAACCAGCGAAAAACCCCAGGACAGCCCCTGAGGCCCTGGCCTGCTCCAAGAGTTGCAGCACAGCATCAATCGTGGCTTCCGGGGAACGTGCCAACTCGTTGGTCAGAAGTCCGAAGGCCGTTCCCAGCAACTCAGGATCCTCTGCAGGCACCAGCTGTGGCACCTGCTGCGAGACACGAAAAAAACTTCACCTGGGATCACCTGGTACCCGGCCTGGTAAACGTTAACAAAAAGCTATTGAAAATGGCCCATTTATAGCTGATTTACCCATAAAAAATGGTGATTTCCCATAGTTCTGTTAGTTTACCAGAGGGTAAGTCAATCATGACCCAAGCATCTCTTCCTCACCAACATCAAACCGGTGCTATTGAAATTGCACCAAATATCACAGAAGAGTCCCTGCTCGCCTGCCCGTAGAGCCTGCTGGGCAAGAAACGCCCAGGTTCAAATACCACCGCCTGGCGCATCTGTATTGCACAGTTGCACCAGATATCCATATATATATAATATATACAGATATCCATATATACATCTATATGAATATGAACATTTATATGGATATCTGTATTGCATCAAGATGATTCAAAAACTCCGGCGTTCATCACCCCATCCGATACGTCATTCCGATACCAAACCCGTCTGGTCACATGCTGCCACTGGGCCGCCTGGAGAACATCGCGGAGCTGGCTCTGTGACAAAGCATGTACTCGATCCTGGAAACAGGTTCAAAAATGGGGACAGCTCTCCAAAAATTATATGGATATCTGTTTATATCATTTATAAACAGATATCCATATATATATTATATATATATATTATTAGGTATAACAAATGGACATCACAGATATCTTTCAGCAGAGATCTGGCAACGCGTTGCGTCCTCTGTTGAGAAGTAGCCCAAACATAGTGGCAGCCGCAAGTATGGTACCTGCTTGTCCCTATTTATGGAAGAATGAAAACGTGAAAGCTCCTGTCGCAGCTACCAATAAAGCAGTTGTCTCTCTTCCGTCAGCTGTACTCCTGAAACAAGGATTCCTCTTCACTTGTTCCCAACATAAGTTCCATCATCGCAAAATGATAAACAAAAAAGGAACTTCATTGGAAGTATGGTTTAGTGACTGGCAGGAAGTTCCTACCATAATATGTATCCTTTTATCATAACCGTGGTTTCTGACTTTTCTTCCTGCCAGTCTCAGTCGCAAATTGCAGTTCCCAGGCGGCCCGGTGCCCCAACCCCTTTGTGCGGCACGGTGAGATATGAAAGGAGCAACTCACTGTCTGCTTGTCCAAGTCCTCAATTAATGAAGCACTTTTAAAATCCTCCCACGCGGTAAAGGAGGGTTGGTCTAAAAATGAGGTACTCACAATTTGATGATTCGTCAATGTTACCCTCTGGTAATTTAACATAGCTATGGAAAATCACCATGTTTAATGGGAAAATCCACTATAAATGGCCATTTTCAATAGCTATGTTAGTCATTACCAGAGGGTATATCATGATATCATTTCAGTCACTTGAATTTTCTTCCAATTCCCTCCCACTCGCAGCTGATACGGACATCGGACCACAAAAAAGGCAGTCACTAAGCTCCCAGCGGTCCCCAAACGATGGCATGGTGTGGACGTGAAGCACATCATCCTTCCAAAACTCAGGACATTGCTATGAAGCATAGTTCACCCTTATCTTACTTATGTATACTTAATGTTAAAACCTTGCCTCAGACCAAATACTCTGGCCGGCGAGGTTGCTGGGAAGTGCTTCACTTTGAAAACGGTGTTCCTTCATGGCCTCGCGAAAGTGCTTGTTTGGTGTGTCGTTGCTGCTCCAAACAGGCACCATCCTGAGGCCACTGCTGGTTTTTCCAGCTTCTGGAAGAGCATCCTTGCTTGATTGCCTTGACCAAATGACTTCACAATGTAGCATCGCTTCCTGGGCAGATCGGACGTTTACGTCGTAAACACGTCCAGCCGTTTGGGGCCAGAAACAACATCATCCAAAATGATCCAAACAAAAATTGTCTATCCAACCACCATCTAACCATTATCCAACCCCCTATAGTATCCATATTATCCATAATATCCATGTGATATGATGTTGGTACGACAATCATAAACCATCCCCCGGTCATCACCATCTTTTTTTCGGTGGTATGTTTACGGGCAAACCCCTCAGTTTGCCCGCGCCGACGCCGACAACATGTCCGAACATCAAAAAGCACTGTGTTTTGTGGGACAAAATGCACATGTCCATGATCATGGCTTTCATCTTGCAAGGCACAGCTTAGCTACCTGTGCGTTGAATGTTACAACAACATCACCATCAACATCATCATCATCATCATCACCATCATCATCATCATCATCATCATCACCATCATCATCATCATCATCATCATGATGTAAAGTTTAACGGTGGTGGGAATTTATATTCCTAATACCCTTGTTGATCTTCCCAATTGAATGTAAAGTTTAACGGGGGTGGGAATTTATATTCCTAATCCCCTTGTTGATCTTCCCAATTGAATGTAAAGGTCAACGGTGGTGAGAATTTATATTCCTAATACCCTTGTTGATCTTCCCAATTGAATGTAAAGTTTAACGGGGGTGGGAATTTATATTCCTAATCCCCTTGTTGATCTTCCCAATTGAATGTAAAGTTTAACGGGGGTGGGAATTTACATTCCTAATCCCCTTGTTGATCTTCCCAATTGAATGTAAAGTTTAACGGGGGTGGGAATTTATATTCCTTCAAAATCCCTAAGAAGTTGTGTGGGCGAACTGGGGGGTTTGCGCGTATGTTTACCATTCCCAGTCATGGGTGATTTATGACATTGCTTGACCGACATGATAAACATTAATCAAAGATGAATCCAAAAAAAAACGGCCATGCTTGTCCCATTCTATCCCCATTCTGTTCCCATGAAAAATCCGCATTCTCTCCCATTACCCTCTGGTTATGACTAACATAGCCATTTTTTTCATGGGTAAATCAACTATTTCTATGGACCATGTTCTATAGCTACCATTGATTTTCCACCGTTTTTTGTATGTTTACCAGAGGCTAATCCCATTTTTCTCCAACATTTGGCCGTTGCCGTTGCGTGGCCCATCTGTTGGGACGCTCCAAGGGGCTGCCAGCGTGGGTGGACATCGATGGCCCATTGCAGGTGGCCATCCGAGAATTCCAGAGGCTGGCGGTGCGGCGAAACGGCTAGATGTTATAATACATGTGTATGTACATATATAGTGTATATACAAAGAGTGTATGTATGTATGTATGTATGTATGTATGTATGTATGTATGTATGTATGTATGTATGTATATATATATACATACAGACATATATATATATACAGTGGTGTGTGTGTGTGTGTGTCAAGCTTAGATTAAGATTATAATGTTGATGTTATCTCTAATATTGATTTGAATATTCTATTGCATTGTGTCATATCGTATAACATATATCATATATCATATCATACCTGGATCGAGAAACGGATCGCTACGGATCTCAAGCTGAGAAATTTGAGGCTGAACAGGAGATTTAGATGAAATAGATTGAAATAGTTCAGTGCTTCTTGTGGAGCGCTTCGGAAGTATGTCACCATTGTCCTGAAGCAATGAAAATCATGAAATAAAGCTTGGATACCACAGAGTCAACTGGCAAAGGTTTACTGGAATCCCGATCTCCCATGGATTTGCACCTGGAATCGGAAGACAATAGGGTCAGTGCAGAGGTAAAATTTCCACCACATGCAAACCTGAGTCGGATATGCATGAATGATTGGATTGGTTTAAGGGAAAATTTACAGGAAACCATAGATTTTCCCATTAAATATGGGGCTAAAACCTGTAAATTTTCCCTTAAACCAATCCATTGAATGAAGAGTAGGACCATCGGATGCTATGGATATTCCAGTAGAAATCGATTGGATTCCGAGATTTACTTCTTGAATCTTCTTGATCTCTTCGGAGCAAAGCCCAAAACTTCGGCGATTCTTCTTTTGAAAAACACATATTAATCATATTATATATATATACATACATATACATATACAATATACAATATACAATATACAATGTACAATGTACAATGTACAATGTACAATGTACAATGTACAATACATATATATATATATATCATATATATGTTTATATATATATACATATTATATATTAATATATATATATAGTAAAAATATCCACACCGCAGGGTGGCAGGACCTTTGCCCTTATCAAGAGAAGAGATGATGGGCTGTTTTGGTCAGAGATGGGTGGCAGCTGGACCAAGTCGCATCTCTGAAAGCAGCAAACTCTGGGAAGTAGCTATCAATGTAAGTGTCGATGAGGCTGGTTCGCCTGGCTGGTCAACACATCAAAATCCACAGGATTATGTAAATCACGGGGGACAAAAAGGGGTACCCTCTGGTAATTTAACATAGCTATGGAAAATCACCATTTTTAATGGGAAAATCCACTATAAATGGCCATTTTCAATAGCTATGTTAAATTACCAGAGGGTATGTTATTTGAGACAGAATCCAACTACCAAAAAAGGAACTTTTTGGAGGTTTGGCCAACAAAACTTGATATGTCTTAATGATTTACAGAAACAACAAAAAGCAAGGTGATTAAAACCAATTTCTGTTGGGTAGGTGGTGGTGTGGGGATAAATCCTTATATTATCCCATGAAAATTGCCATACTCATTGGAGCCAAAATCCAAAGCCGTTCATCCTAGACCCATGTCTTGGTTTTGGTTTTATTGCTTATCACTTTGGAAGACTTGGAAGCCACATCAACAACATTAAAGGCCGATTAAAGGCCTCTTGTAGAGGCTCTTTGCCATCTTTCCGCACAAAGCCTCTGCTCCTTGGTCTGGGTATTCCATGACCCAACCTCGGTAGGCGCATTGAGAGGTTAAGAGCAGACTGGAGGTTATAGCTAGGTGGGTCTTCATGCTTGGGATGTCGCCAGCACTTTGGCACATGAACGCCACTGCCCTAATCAATGTCCCAGTAGCTTTCAATGTCCAGCTAAAGAGAAAAAGTTAGGAAACGAAACTACTAAAAGATGTAATAGGTAACTATTGCCATCTCAGGAAATATGGCCTTATATATGGTACTAACGTACCTCCATTTTAGGATCCTGAAGATCTCCCATTGATAATAGGTAACTATTGCATCTTTGTATCAAAATCACAAGCTCCAAATCCTTGCCGACCAGCCATCTCGCTCCCACTGGAAGATGTGCTTGATCTTGGCACCCTGTTCCCGAGCTTCCTGTGGCTCTTGGTGAACATAGAGTGGGGTCGGTGAATTCGATGATCCCACATGACTCGCTGCAAAACTCACATCTGTTCATACACCAACCCCCTGAAGCCCACATCCCCAGTCATCCCCAGTCATCCCAGTAGTCATCCCCAGGTCCTGCTCAACTTCTTGGAAGTAGGCCAATGTTCGGGCTCGGGCCACATTCAAGTCTGGGGAAAACAGCAGAAAGGTCTCCGACTGCTTCGCGAAGACTTCCCAGGAGACCAAGAAGCGCGTCTCCTCGTTGTCTCTTTCCTGAAAAAACGATGAGAGAAGTGGGTTTTGGAGGTTTTGGACCTGGTAAACTGGACTGATCAGGTCGAAACTGGACTGGTTGATGCTTGTAACTTTGGGCATCTTTGGGCTTTGATGGGCTGTGTCAAATGTGTCTCTTGGCATCTTTTCTAGCTGGGGATTTTTGATGAGGGTCAGATTGGGAGTCCGAAATTCACCTGTGAAACCACGTTTAGGTCACCTCTTTCGGTTGGGCAGCTGTGCAAATTCTGCCCAGGCACATCGTCCATGCGACCAGCGACAGCACGGCTGGTGGTGGTCATGAGTTCTTGTCTCAGCAAGCGATCCATCAGTGTCACCTCAGTTGGGAACCACAGCAAACTGGCACAGCAAACCAAGAAAAATGTGGGAAATGATCGCCACATACCCTCTGGTAAACAAACAGTTATAAGTTATAAACATAGCCATTGAAAATGGTGATTTAGTTCGTTGATTTACCCATTAATAGCATGGTGATGTTCCATCGTTTTTTATATGTTTACCAGAGGATATCGCCACTAGCCGGCCCCCAGGTCACCATAAGGTCTCCAGGTGACCATTGCGCCCAGCACAATGACTCGGGTGCCATCGAAGCCGCGATGTCCGGCCGTAGCCCCGCAGCTCATGGCGAAGTGTTGCGCGATACCTCGGATACCGGATCCGGATCCATCAATGGATTGGTTTTGTTGGGAAAAAAATACAGGTTTAAACCCCAGTTTTTTGATGGGAAAATCGGATTGGTTTCCGGTTAAGATTTTCCCTTAAACCAATCCATTGAGGGAGGATCCCGGGGACCGTCCAGGACTGATGACTGGAATCTGATGACTGGACTGATGACGTGACTCCACCAGTGCTTGCTGAGCGACGCTTCACCACCAGTGCCGTATCAACCTGCAATCCGGGCGGAGTGAACCGGTGAAAATCAACGGCAGCCGTTGACGTCCAAGAGAAAAGCCCTAAAATCAGGTGATGTGCGCCTTAATTGTCCGAATTCAAATTGCGGGTTTGTTGCGGCTTTGGGTGCCCAGTACTGGCCCGCCTGCTGTTCCGGTGTAGCTGCTCCTCCCCACACCGTGTCACCACCGCGCAAGCGGCTGAGTGGTCCCAGTGGCACTGGCAACAGGCCTGAGCATGCACAGCTATGAGGATAGAACGGAACGGCAGAATTGCTCATTGTCTCAAGAGCGAATACAGTAAGCGGATTCCATTGGCAGGAAAGGTTGGACCGGTTGAACCCAGTGGGAAAAACTTTGAACCCGTGGTCTGACTGCTCCTAAAGGCAAGCTGGAGTTCTTATGAGTTGTGACCCTCGCCAGCTCCTTGTTGCGTTGGTGTCAAACTTTGACTGCTCTTAGACAGCAAACCAACTGCTATCATCTTGTATGGATACCCCCAAATCATCCATTTTAGAAGGGAATTTTCCATTATATCCATTATAAACCATCCATTTTGAGGTATCCCCATTTATGGAAACCCCGCCTATATTTATGCATCAGTAAACATTCGGATGCGCTATGTTCAAGTGCACCTTTTTGCTTTCGCAACCGAGCTTCGAGTGAAGACGTGTTGCACCAGCGCGATCTTCAAGAAGTGGGCGAATCGCAGGCTGGAACCTATTGGCTTTATGGTCTGCCTGAAATGGGGGATCCCCAATAGCTGGATGGTGAAAAAAATAGAAAATCCGACTCAATGGATGCATATCTATGAAATCCAATTCAGCTCAAAACTCAGGAACTCAGGTGATTTGTTGCAGGTGGCTGGCACTCTGGCACCACGAAAAGTCCGCTTTGGGTTGACGGAGCTCTTCAGCTTAGCATCAGAATCCCAAGTTTGAGTTTACGGATCAAACGAAAAAAACGCCGACAGGTGCCTGAAGAGGAACTGGTCCCGATCATGAATAATGTCAACCCCGGATTAATAAACCATGGTTTATTAATTAGAAGGTACTCCTCCAATAGTCATGTCATAGTCATAATCTAATTAATCTACAATACTTCAATGGTACCCTCCCAATTAAACAATCGTTTGGGGTTTACTAATCCAGGGTTGACATTAGAACATCCCCAAACATGTTCTTCAACACTTTCATGAACTGGAAGCTGTAGAAGCTGTAGAGGCCGTGAGCATGAGGTCATCATGAAGTAGTATACAAAGCTACGAAGTGAATGAATTTAACTGGCGATGTCCCAAATCTATTACATTTAAAAAAAAAAACTGTGGGATAACATACGGGATAACATGGGATAACCATCCAATTCCCATTCCGATTCCACCAATTCCCATTCCGCTTCCACAGATTCGGCTTGGACACTGAGATTGTCCAACTGCGCTAAGAGGAGGTCGGTGGCTTTTAAAGCAGCCACCGCGTCGTTCATGCCTTGCTGTGGCGATTCGAAAGGATGACTTTCTGAAAATGGTGGCGATGTACGTATAGAAATGTGAGTGATGAAAAAATGATGAAAAAATGACTAGTGAACTTAGTGAACTAGTGACTAAGCCGTGTCAACTGGCTGACTTTAATAACTACATCCCAAACTCAACTACTCTGCAAGTTGACAGGCAAGGCGCTTCGAACTTTGCTGGTCAACAAGTCGAAGTTCACGGGTGGCCTTAAGGGTCTGCCAGCAGCCAACTATCTGGACAGCAGCCTTTTTGTCTACGTTCTTGGTGGATGATGCAACCAGAGCAAGCTTTTGTGGAAACTCTACAAAAGTGACTGCTTCAGTAGACCAGGATAGACCAGGAACGTTCAAAACGTTCGCGAAACAAGCTGGTCAAAAAAAAAAACGAAAATCCCTGTCCGGTCACCTAGTTCTCCCTCTGGCAAACTTCCTTGCCAAGGAGCAATTGGGATGTATCTAGGGCACTGCCTGGCACGGAGCCCATCCACTTCAAACGCAGCGCCGCAGGATCACCAGTCAAACCAGTGGTACCCTCTGGTTATGTCAAGATAGCTATTGAAAATTGCCATAGAAATAGTGGATTTACCCATTGAAAATGATGATGTTCCATCGTTTTTTGGATGTTTACGAGAGGGTAACCAGTGGTGTGTCATTTGATTCTGGCCCTTTGAGGTGTGTCTGACGGGCCTTCTTTCCCCTCGAGCTCTTCTCGAAGCAGACGCTCGAAGAGTGGAAAGATGCCCGTGGCAGCGTCCGGCGCCTCTACACCACGACACAAGGCTGGGATATTATGGGGTGTGAAACTGGAAAGTGCTTCAAACTTTCTCTGCTGGTACAAACTACCGGTACCAGGTTCCATGCCATTTCAAGTCACCACAAACATCCGAGTGATTGTTGCCGGTTCAAAGCTCTGCCCCTTCGGCATGTTGCTGCAAACACAACGGTAGGCTGTTGCCCTAAGAGAGCTCAAGCTACATGATTCCTCAGTGATTCAGCATGGAATGCAGTAGATAAGGGTAAGTTTGCTTTGACAGATGTGCCAAATCCAGCCAGTCTTAGATATCCGGCCAGTGATGACTTGTTTAGATGGTTGATGTCTTATCCCGTTATCCCATCTATGGCTGAAAATTGAAGCATCGATCATCGAACTACCTATTTGAAGTTGACCCAGTTTCTCTGTCCCGGCACACGTACCTTCAGTGATGCTGCCTTCCGGTCGCGGAGCAGCAAATGGAATCCAGATTTCAAGACAGATCAAAAAGAATCTCACAGATCTGCCAAGGGCAGAACGTTGGTTTTTTTCACGTTGGTAACAGCTGCACATCTGGCCTTCCCCATGGCCACGTGAGAGCCACCCTCACCAGTGCTGAGGTCCAACCTTAGCCGCCATCATTTTTAGAAAAACTGGCGATTGCATCTTGAGAAGCTTGTTGTCAGCTGCTTAATTGCTCGTTTGCTCATGAAACAGCTCCAACCATTTCAGTCATATGATAGTCATATGATGAGTTATGAGTCATTCAGCCTGTCTTCAAATGGATTTTGACGAGTCTTGAGAAGATTCCAACAACTCGGAAGTACCCATCTGCTCAACATCACCACGGTAACTGCCCGGGGTTGACCCTTTTGACCGTCAATTGTGTGGTCAAAATAATTTCATAAGATCAAATAAGTAATAAAAACATGTGTGTATGTGTATATATATAGTGTTTGCTCGTGTGGCCCCTCAAGCCATCTGCTGTTTTTGTTGCGAGAGGCAATGGTGGCTTTTCAGAAGTGCCTTCACTGCTCGTTTTCTGCAACAGCTTAATCTCCACCTCAGAGGAAGTTCCACAAGTCCCATGGTTGTCGGTTTCAGCATGGATCCATTTTGACCCCTGTTTCATCAAGTTTCATCGGGCCTTTGAACAGAGAAAAACGATGAAAAACTCGAAATCAAACTGACAGAATATCAGAGGCCAGTCCCCAAAGGCACATGGGCAAGTCGAAAAGTCACCTCATCGACACGTCCCCTCCAGTCGTCAGGTCCCGCCTCATCGACTGTCTGCCGAACCTGCCGTAGTCCATCAAGGCCCAGGTAGCCTGCCTGAAAGAACACTTGTCATCGCTACCAGCTACCATGGATCAGCCAGCGCAATAGCCTCTGCTAATGACATTCACAGTTTGCGAACTTGAAAATGGATGAAAATGGCCCATAGAAATAGTGGGATTTACCCATGAAAAAGCATGGTGGATCTTTCCATGGTTTTTTGGGATGTTTTCTAGGGCGCCATACCTACGGAGTCAGCATGGAAATTTTGTGCGCTGGTCGACTTTACGGGAACGACCCAGTAGCTTAATGCCCCGACCTTCGAAAGTTTGGCTGCAGTGAAAGCCAACCTCGTGAGCAAAATGGGATCCAAAAGCTATTGGATGTGGCATGATGTGGCTTACGTGGCTGGATTTCTGGTCCTTTTTTCATTTATAAATAGTTTACAAATTGTAGGTTTCTGATGATATTTTGATGGTCTTTGGCTCCAACAAGTGGTGTGTTTCAATCGATTCCAAAGGTCACCACAAGCCCGGCGAAGCAAAATGTCCTGCCAGGTGGCTGCTTGCACAGCATCCTGACCAAGGTCCGGTCGGATCCACTGAGCTCCAAGACTGCCTGCACCGCTCCAGAATTTATGCAGGCGCATGGTCCAGAAAAAAAGGGGTGCTGTCGGCACGCATCCGAAATGACCAGTATAGCGTTATAGTCTTGAACAAGAATTTATTGGTGTTGTTCTTATTTTTATTCTTCTTCTTCTTCTTCTTCTTCTTGTTGTTGTTGTTGATGATGACAGGAACAAGTCTTCTTGCTCAAATGAGCTTCAAAGTAGCAAATGAAAGGATTCGGCTGTTGAAGCATGTTAAAGCTTTCTGGTTGCACATGCTATCGCTGACAATGTCAGGTTTGGCGATCAAAATGACACAAAGTAGCAAACAACCAACCACCAAGTGACAGTCAGAACCAGCTGGCATGAAACGATGGTAGAGTGAATGATCTATGCGAACAGAGCGAACAGACACTGCACCACGAGGAAAGGAATAATGGGACAATCCACTAGATCACGAATTTCTGCATAGAACTCCCGGCAAAAACGAGCAATTTGAGTCGTCCTCTTTGTGAAGTCATGAAACGAGGCACCAGAAAAAACACCCCATTGGTGACCCTGGCACTGGTTCGGCTGGTGTCGCCACTGGAAGGCTGTGCTGGATGGTAACCAACAGTAGCAGGGATGCAGCACGGATCCCATCCCTTGGTGATCTTGGAAAGACAATGATGTTGTTTTTATGTGATGACACGACCGAAAAGCTTTTCGGAAAGCTTTGCTTAATTGCTATATATATATATATGGATTCCATACCTCTTCCAGGATTCTGACTGATATTACAATATATGAAAAAACGCCCCGGATCGAGGAAAATGGATTCGGATCTGTTGCGAAAATCCACGAAGCTCAGGTCGTTTGGCGTCGGCGCGGACTTCACTGCCACCTTTGAGGTATCAATGCCCACTCTCCGCTCCACATCCGGCCTTGACGTCATTAGAGGCCAGCTTCAATAGACTCGTCCTGACACGGAGATTTCGGTTTGGAATCCGAACAGGCACCAAATCGTGAGACTTTTTTCTAGCCTTCGGAGTATGAAAAAAACGGTATGCCATGGTATGCCATGGTATGCCATGGTATGCCATTGTTAGCTGTGGCCAGCCTCAAGCAGAACTTCACCACTTTTGTCCTCACTTTGCTGAGGCCAGACCTGACACCGGGCAATTGCAAAGAATGGAGCAGAGAATTCAACAAAGAATTAAACATATATATATATATACGTATATATATATATATACGTATATATATATATACATGTGTATTGTGTATATATATATATTTCGAAACATAAATAACTATAATCGTAATAGGATCCTATAGAATCAAATCTTGTATTATGTACATACGCTTCTGGGGGTGAGCATATATACATAATATATACATGTGCACACAGATTTTGCAGTTGAGAACGCAGTGTTTACACTGTTACGTTGCAAAGTTGTCAAGGCCGAGCGCCACTGATCATTAACCTTTGATCCTAATGGTCACATAATCGCAAACCATACGTAACCATGACAGTGTTAACCGACATAACCACCACCAGGGTCAAAAGGGTCAAAAGGGTCAAAAGGGTCAAAAGGGTCAAAAGGGTCAAAAGGGTCAAAAGGGTCAAAAGGGTCTTGGCCTTCGTAGAATGTAGTGCAAAGCATCCAGCAGGCATCGATGGAAATTGTTCCGCGATCGTCCATAGACCTGCGAAGTCATGTTTAGCCATTTAGTCCTTCGCTAAGCGTCTAACTTGGATGGTACACTGGCCATTTCAAAACAAAGACAAACAGAAAAAAACACACTTTTCTAAAACGTTGTTCATTCGACGGAAACATCTTATATCATTCTGTTGAAGTCCGGAGTATTTGTTCAAATTGTCCAATTTTTTGCACAAACCTGATTCATGATTTACACCTTCCTACCCACATTGCACATCGTTGCCAGTCCGAAACAATGAGATCATAATCGTCCTGCGCCGAATTTGAGGAAGATTATAATGTACCCGATGTACCCAGCTCAATCCACAACTTTTCACATCAAATCTTCCCTCAAGGCGGCCGTCGAGCGACCGGTGTTCTCCAGTCCAAGGCAGGATCGTCATCATCCGACCGCTTCTCACTCGCCTCGCAACGATCCGAAGCTATCTCTGCTCAATCAAATCATGACATCCACAAGTTGGATCAGAATTTTCTCGACCAGGTTGCTTCGCGCAACTGTTCCAAAGTTTGCCCAGCCATAAAAGGCAGAAAGAAGTCGTAGGTCAACTGCGGATTGGTCTTTTGCCTCAAACAACGCCAGTGTGTTCGACATTGAGGATGCGGAAAAAAAACACAAAGCTGCTTGTGAAGTGAAGCTGAAACCCTACAGGCACCCAACTACCCTCCTAAATTAGTCATTATTGATGTTTGCAAAGATCGTTGAAGCTTAGATGGCTTAGATAAAGTAGGAAGAGGATTCTGGAAATCAGTACCACTTCCATGTCTCCGCGACATTTCAGCAAAGCTTCTCGTTCACATCTGGCAGATTGGTTGCCTCAGCAATTCTGACTGATCTGACCATGCAGTAGGTTGATAGTATTTTTATAGTGGTATATAAACTTGTAAACTATAAATAGATATAAAATGATATAAATAGACCATAAACGATGACACTTCCTCAGCCACCACTCAGCCTTCAGGATGATTCATCATGTAAAACCTTATAGGCAAAGCCAAGTGACAATAAGCAAAGCCCACCAAGCGTCGTCCAAGGCCTTTTTTCGAGACAAATTTTCGAGCACGATCGGCCGAAACTTGACTTTGGGCGTCATCTGTGCAGTCCTAAGCTGGAGAATTGGGATGTCTTGGGGATTATATGGGATTATATGGATGTGGGTCAAAATGGAAGACCTAGGGGACCACAGATGTTAGTCTAGTTTAGTATTAACCATCCATAATTTTGGGGTACCTAATTTTGACCCATCCCCATATGGGATTATAGTAATCCAATAGGGGAATATAGGGGAATCCCATGGAATCCCTTTTTTAACCAGCCACTATTTGGGATGTCTTGGGAGTCCGAATTCCTTCTTCTCAACGCTCCAAGAATTGGCCGAGCCAGGTCGCTTCGGATGATATTCACGACTGTCGCCAAAGCCAAACACAGCGATCCGGTAATTGTCTTCGCCGACACGTTCCTCACAGCATGGATCAGCCAGGTCACAGAACAATGATAGGACTCACATGCGAGCTAAGAGGCTAAGGAGCATTAGGACACGAAAACGGTTGTTCGTCCTATTTGTCAGGTCGACAGTTATGTTCTCCTTCAAACTCCTTCGGTGTTGGACTGAACATCTTCGCTGTGACATCGTTTGACCGTACCGGAAGTCAACTGAACCCTGCGTTTGAACCGTGCCGGAAGTCAACTCCTCATGAAGATACGTGGAAGCTAAAAAACAATTCAACATATTATGAAGATTGGATTCCCCTACTAGAAAGGGTCCCGGTTCAACTTGTGGGTGTCTCAGCCGGATAGCAGGTTTGAAAGCAGCAGGCTACAGTCCTTGTGTTGCGAGAGTGTAGCGTGTTTGGAGGATGTAGATCATGTTTGATTTAGAATGTAGAGGAGAGATCTTGTGGGGTTTGGCGCCAACATGTTTTCTCCATGGAACAACTATGCATTTATATACTATCTGAATATTTGACATGTTGTGGATGAAACATTCATCGTTCTTGAAAACGTAGATGCATTTGAGTCGAGATTTGTGGCATTTCCCACAGCAACTTGAAAAAAAGTTCAGTTCCTCCACAGCGCAGTATACTAAGTATACCGGTACAAATATTATCTGATCCCAAATCAGTGAAAAAACATGTTGTTCATACATGATATATGGGGGTTGTCCTAAATTACTGTTCCCACAAAGGCCTCTTGGGCCGAGCTTGCGCCAACCTTGCGCGTTTCTTGCGCGACCACACTCCCGGATCACTTTCATCATTTCAGTTGTTTTTCATCATTATTCTCGTACTTGTTTTCGAATGTTAAATATTTAGTATTCACTTAGTATTTCGTACTGGGAAGTAGTTTGTGCAAGCTTTGTAGTACACAGTAGTACTGGGAAGTAGTTTGTGCAAGCTTTGTAGTACAAAGTAGTACTGGGAAGTAGTTTGTGCAAGCTTTGTAGTACAAAGTAGTACTGGGAAGTAGTTTGTGCAAGCTTTGTAGTACAAAGTAGTACTGGGAAGTAGTTTGTGCAAGCTTTGTAGTACAAAGTAGTACTGGGGAGTGCTTTGTGCAAGCTTTGTAGTGCAAAGTAGTACTGGGAAGTAGTTTGTGCAAGCTTTGTAGTACAAAGTAGTACTGGGAAGTAGTTGTTGCAAGCTTTGTAGTACACAGTAGTACTGGGAACGACTTTGTGCAAGCTTTGTAGTACACAGTAGTACTGGGAACGTGTTTGTGCGAGCTTTGTAGTACACAGTAGTACTGGGAAGTGCTTTGTGCAAGCTTTGTAAACACAGTAGTACTGGGAAGTAGTACTGGGAAGTAGCTCTGTACGTGTTGAACTTCTGTGGTTTCAGAGCGGTTTCAGAGTGGTTTCAGACCCCTTCGGGGGGTCTAGCTGACCTTGATGAAAAGAACAATTTACAGACAGAAAAGACTTGAACACAACATACAAGGAAATACATTTAAAGAGCAGATAGATAGATAGATAGATAGATAG